TAGAGAGCATCACGATGAAAGAGCTTGTTTCCATTGCTATACCAAAGTTCCTTGAGAGCATCACGATGAAAGAGCTTGTTTCCACTGCTATCAAGAATTCTAGAGATCATCATGGTACAATAACTTACTGCCACAGCAGTATCAAATATCATAGAACAGATAGATGCAAAAGCTTGCTTCCAGTACAATTATAGATCATGATTTTTATATAAAATTCTGTGTTCGTTGTATAATACGATTGAAAAAGGTGTAGATGCTAATATTTAATAAGGCTCCAATGTATAATTTTGGCATTTCACGTTAATTGAAAGGGAGAAAAATATAAAGTGTTAATATAAATTCTTTATTTTCTAGTTTTCTAGACACGTTATATCTATTATATTTGGTCATATACTGAAACTGTCAGAAAATGCGAAACTTAGTAACCGTAAAGTATCACCCAACTTCTCAGACCAATGGTTGTCTGTATTTTAATTATACTTTTGCATGAAGCATTTAAAACTACATATAGTTATTAAAATATAATAAGAATAAAAAAAGTCAAAAGTATACCTTACCTTTAGCAATGTGAAGTCATATTCGTGAAATAGGTAGCATACTATGAGTAGCAAGTAGTTGGTGAAAATTGCTTTCCCTTTCTCTAAACAAATATTAGAAAAGGCCAGAAAACAATTGGGTTTTAAAATACATTGATTGCTTAGCCAAGAATTATCTCGAATAGTAAGAGAGAAATATGCAGCTGGAAAGCACGTATCGAACGAAACGGCGTAACATTGGGTAAGATCGCAACCAACTGTTTCTACCAACGTTCATGAGCTGGACAGCTGGTTTCGTTGGCTGAACGGCGATTCTTTCCGTTTTCACACCACAAGAAATAGATTTTTAACGATCTCTGAAATCATCTAAGTTTCACGCTGCACCCTGTAGGTACTGCGAACTTAGTTCACGTAACTAACTAGATTTTCTAAAATGTTAGTCTGGGTTATTTATAGAAAGTAAACTTTGTACTTTCTTCTAATGATCGACTTAAACCCTGTGATATCAAGGCTACTGTTATATTTATCCATTTTATCTATGACTGTTTGTATAAAAGCCAACCTTCATATACCCCGTTATATCATATTAGCAGGAAAGTATTACGAAGAAGCAGACTCTACTACATTCTCAAAACAATTTCAAGCCCTCTGTCGTTGTTCTCCACCTGACTGATTGAGTGGCTTTAAGATTTGGCTTCGAGTATAGGAAACTAGTTTTCAAGAGCCTTCTGTGGTATCTGCTCAGTGGGTTTCTCAGCTGATAGGACCAGCGGTTCTAGTGAAACATCCGGGGACTTCTGACCCGGTAGAAAACGGTTGTGTTTAACCAATCAGAAGCTAAGTGCGTTTACTACGAAACTTAAGTGTTACAATCAATATCTTAAAAGAGGTTAATCTAGAAATGCATGGGACGCACGTGGTGCCGCAAGTTACGAATGTCTTACGTATAGAAACGTTTCATTGTATATTTGATTCAAATGGCATGTAATATTCTTGCAAAATTAGTTCATCTTTACAAAATGAGAAATATAAGTTACTGAAGCATCCTATATAAACTAATTTATTTACACAAGTTATTCTATTCGAACAGGTTACTTATTTTAAAAATATTTTATAGTTCGTCTGTAGTTTTCGTCTTATTTCAAACAGAAGTATTTGTTTTTGGTATTTATGGCGAAGTTACTAAGTCTATCTGTAACAGTCCCTAATTTTGAGCTACTGATCATAGGGAAGAAAGTCACCCAAACCTGCCACCCACCATCCATGCTGACGTAATGACTGTCTCCCTTATAATACATCTAAAGCTTAAAATGCAGTAAATATTTTGTGATACCACACTGTTTCGAACTCGGTATGCCACCCCCGAAAACCTTAGCACTATTTCAGAGCCAGCCCGAGTCCTTCAGATAGAACTACACAAGGGATATTTGTTTTGTTGGTATAGTACGGAAAGCTCTCTTTGTCATCGCGCTGAAAAAAAAAAACCGCTTAAAAGAAAGAAACCTAACATGATAATGAATGTCAATACAGATACAAGTTATATGTCTCCTTTTAAAATACTGCCACCGTACATCTAGAGGATATGATATATTAAATAAATGGTGTGAGAAATAGGTATGCAGTTAAATCAAAGCTAAATGTTGTATGTATAATTTTGATTTGGAAATAAGTACATGAATAATTATTTTACTTGATACTTCTTACAGTCTGAGAACATAATCGTCTGTGAAATATTTCAGACAATTATCTCTAAAACCATTTCATGTTGATATGACAAAGAATAATGAATTTAAATAAATAGAGTTGTTTAAACATTTGTTTAACAACAAGTAAAAGCTTGGAATGGTCTATTCTTTCACTGGGGTGTGTGTCTGTGAGCCATTATATACAAGCTGCCCAGTGTCGGCTAACAATACGAAGAATTAAGTTGTAGCGAGATGTTGCAACTTCTTCAAATACCTATAGTATGATAGGTTTCTTTATTGTGAGTGTAAAACACTTAAGTTCACCAGTTAATAATGAATTTGTTTGGTTTAGATGTTTATCTTTTACTCACTGAGTAAAGGACTATAGCTAAACCCAAGCCAGATGTACACATTCCACCTCTGTATTATGCCTACTTTATTTGCATTGCTCTTACATGCAGCACCGATAAGCCTTAAATTCGGCAAAACTAGTAGAGACAAAGAATAGATTATGCTTCTACCTAATTGTACACTTCGGCGAAGAAAAAAATTTAACAAATAAATAATAAGCGAGATATCAATACTTATACAATACTAAGTGTGTTTCTATGTTTATCTAAAACATATACCTGCCACTGGGGGGGGGGGATCTCTTTATAAATATGGCAGTAAAAGAGCTAAACTTGTGTTGACTTATGTATAACATGATTAATTAAAAGAAGTTTTACTTTCAAGTCTTCTTATGTTACTGTTCCCTTGAAATTCGTAATGCTGCTCAACTGATCAAGGTCTGTGCTTTATAATGTTAAGAATTCAGTAGTTCACAGTGTTAGAGGTCTCCTTTGGGCCAGTGTTCAGACATTCTAAACGTTTATACTGATACAGCCTTACAAGTTACAGGTTTCCACCTTTTATCATGTTAGTGCAAATATAATCTTAAATCTTTGAGAAGTCACTTAACCTCGAAACTAATATGTTTTACTTTATCAGCTCTAATGTAACACATGGTGTTGTAATTTCATCTTATAACTTATTAAATACAGCTTGTCCAAACACACAGAATTATTAAAAAAATGTAGTTTGTTTTAGGCTTAGTTGGAGGTGAAGTATTGTCTTCTCCTCCCAAAATTATCAAACTAAATACAAGAAGGAAAGCGTTAGGAAACAATTCAGTGTGTTACTATAAATTTAGATAATAACCTTCAAAGGTAACAATATTTAGCTGTGCCTTTAAAAGCAATGTTTAGTTATTAAAATCTATATAGTACTACCATTAAAATATTACATTTGCTTCTTTCAAGAAAGCCTAGTTCCTACACGTCTGCTATTTATTGCATCAAAGGAGTTTAGAACTTATTTCAGCAATATGTTTGCTTTAATCTATTGTTAGAAGTAAATCATAGATGCGTCAAAAATAAATACGTTTTATCCTATTAAATAAACTGAAAACGTTATCTCTTAGAATACATATCGAAACTTCTGCATGCATGGAATCCTGTGTATATATCCTTTATTATGAACAGATGAAACTTAATAATTACTTCTGTGTATTTTTTTATTTTTCAATTTGTGACGTGCAGTATATGAATTATGTTTTTGCCAAGAAAAACTGACGAAAATGTAAAATCAAATTTTTATTTAATATCCTAAAATTATTTTTTGACACTTGGGTAAAATCATAAATAAATAACGTTAAAAACAGCTTTTCTTGGTTTATGCAACAAAAAATAATTTTTATCTGGAACTGATCTAAAAGTCTCAAATACACTCTTCATGCTTCGATGCTTGAACACGCCATCTTCTGGAGTGTAAAGCACAAGAACATTACCCCACGTCTTCTGTTCAATCATGTGACATCTTAACCTTCATGTTGTTACAGAATATCATGCCATCTATTTACGTTCTTTCCCGTCAATCTCTCATCCTTAATTAATAGATTATTACGTTTTTATATTTAAGTATATCCATATAGAATGAAGGATTGTGAGATTTCTGTTGTCACTGTTCTTGTGATATATATATATACGAATGAATTTGAACATGAAGTTTTAAATACGTTTAATTTGACACCAGAAACTTGGATTAGATACACTGGTGACACCTTTGTGATGTGGCAACATGGTAAAGAAGATTTAACAAAATATGTTAATTATCTAGATAGTTTAGAGAATTCTATTAAATACATATATGAGCTACAAGAACTGGAAAAAGTTAGAGACTACAGCTTGTCGTGAACATTTCTCTGTGCTAATGCCTCTACGTCAACAATAGTTTCATACAAACTCACAAAATATTATTTTTCTGTTTTTATATACATAGAGCTATAAAACTATGTTCTAAACCAGTTCTTCTCAACCTTTCCCAGTATAATTCATCCCTATAAGTCTTTCACAACAGCTCACCCACTCCAGTTTGAAAAAAAACTCACCGAAGGATTATTCCTCAGTCACAACAATCGTAAAACGCCAAATTTGATTTCAATCCATTAAATTCATAGAAATGTGATTAAGTATTGATTAAATAGTGTCTATCATTTACCCTAACTGAGAAATCCATTGTATGTTACGTAAATACTAATATTTCATGACCAGAGGGTATATATGGCTAAAGACCTTAAATAGGAGAAACTAGTTGAAAAATAGATTTAAAATATATATACCTTTCATAACATGCATTCAAATACAGTAAAATATTCCTTAAAAAAGTAATATTCGTTTCTTCTATAACAGATTATGCGAGATTAAACTTTTAAAAAAGACTTTAAAAGAAGCTTAAACTATGAGGTTCATAATATGTTTCAACACTCTCAAGGCATGATGTCCTTTACTCTATAGTATACATCTTATGACTGAGTGTGTGTGAACTAGCGGTTAATACGCTCAGAGCGTCACAGTGAACTTAATGGTTCATGATGCGCGTCCCGTTGCCGCAAAAACTCGCCCCGCACTATGTGGATCATAGTTACTGTAGCTTTGTGCATGAATGAGAAATACTGTAAGTTATTGTAAGTTACAATCAAAATGTTGGTACTTATAAAGCTTCCCGTATAATAGTCGATTACCTGCAACAAACATACGGAAACAAAATATATGCGAATATTAACGTCGAGACTGCAATAACCATGACAGTTTGCTTAACCTAATCAATAAATCGAATTGAACGCTATTCCATATGGAATAACTCATCTTACCCATTACTCATTGAGACTAGTGTCTAATAGAATAAATCAGCTTAGAAAGAACGAGTCATTCTTGTATATCATTGTTTAGTTACTCTGATGAAGTGCAGGGCTTAATACAAGGAATGTTTCACATCATAACTAACATCGATCTGTAGTGTAAGAAGTACTTAATACCAAGGAGTAGGAGTAGTATCACATCATAACTAACACCAATCTGTAGTGTAAGAAGTACTTAATACCAAGGAGTAGATGTAGTTTCACATCATAACTAACACCAATCTGTAGTGTAAGAAGTACTTAATACAAGGAGTAGGTGTAGTTTCACATCATAACTAACACCAATCTGTAGTGTAAAAAGTACTTAATACCAAGGAGTAGGAGTAGTTTTACATTATATAATCTTAATCTGTAGTGTAAGAAGTACTTAATACCAAGAAGTAGAGGCAGCTTCATATAATATATAACAACAGTCTGTAGTGTTAGAAGAATTTTTCTTAAAAATAAATATCTATAAGCACGAGACAGTCAAAATTAAATTCACTGATCACTTTCAGAACATGTTTTCGTAAAATAGAATCTGTATTTACCGAATACCAAGCTCCTGCTGATGGTATAATTTTTAATTTATAGGAATAAGATAATGCTAGGTGGGCAACATCCATCTTTGATCGTATGCCGTGTTGGCTGACAATTCCGATCAAATGGAATGAACGATTGGGTAGTTTGCAACGCACACACGATCTACAAGATATAGAAAGCTGGGAAGTGTCGAGGCGCCTATTTTATATTATCTAGAGTGATCTGTGTCTCCTAAATTGTAACCTATACA